ATTTATCATTGCTTAAAGTATATAAATTAAATCGCCTTGTGTCTGAAAACCCTAAAAATTTCCCGCTTATATCAGAGGCTTACATATAATATGGAGTATATCTTTAGTTTCAAGAAGGGCTAAAGTCAATTTTTTTAATTTCATTTTTTCAATAATTTTATTTTATGTAATCCTTTTGTTTAGATAAATGACATAAGAATTTGTATACTATGACACATGTTATACTGAAAATTAAAATGTCTTTAGTCACTATAATGTACTTTTGTCTTAAAAAACGGTATAAGTTATATAATATTGTAGAATGGCTTAAGCCATTTAAAACGCCATATTAATATTAGGCAATTTAACATTTAACATTTATGCTTATAAACTGTAATTTTCACAATTTAATTTGTTTCTATTGAAAACACTAAAAAATACTTACTTTTAGATTCTGAGTGGAGCGCAGAAGCTTATAGTTTTACAAAGATGTTTATTTTTATTTATTTTTTCTGTGAACAACTTTTTACCAAAAAACTTGTTCCGATTATAAATCGGAGCACATTTTCGGACTGGGGAGATACTTTAAAAAGGTAATGTTTCTTTTTTTTTGATTTTCTAGTGAATTTTTCAAATAAATAGGAAAACCTGGGGAAAAACACGGACAAATCAGAAAAAACGTAGGAAAACGGTAAAATCGGTACATATTAAACAAGTATTATTATTGAAAATATTTAATGTCTATTTAATTATATTGTCAAAATATGACGTGTATATTATTGATAAAGCATCACTATTAACTGAACTCAGCTTAAAATCGTTTTAGTAAGAAATTGTTCATCGTTGCTTGCAGTTATACATCAAATTACTTATTAATAACAGTTGCTGCACCCAACCCCATTATCGTATGACAGCTTTTAAATTTTAAATATCGAATAGGTTATCGGAAAAGTCATATCGGCTCGTTACTAGAAATTACTTTAGCTCGATGGATATATACGAAGATAATATTAATAAATGTAAGAATCAGTTTTAGTCGAAGTTGATTCCTTAATTAGACAACAGATTACCGTTTCGTTTTTTCCAATTACGAAAATTTAGAAAACTACTAGGAAAATTAGAAACCGACTTTTTCAATGCACTCACTGACGAAAACTTGCCTTTAGAAAAAGCCGCAAGCCGCTATACTTGATAACTGAAGCAAGATTTCCAAGAGAATAGTTCTTTGAAGACAGAAAAAGACACATCACATATAAAATATGTTTTATGCTCAACCGTATTGTGTACCAAAACAAAATTTAACGTAGCATTATACAGTTGTATTCATGCTCCGATTAAAAGCAAAAGTCGTCGCAAACTTATTTCTCATAGACGATATTAAAAACGAAATTTATTTGATATTATACACAACTCCCGGGACTCTTAGATTTTGCCAATTTATACGAAAACAAATAAAGAGCATAGTATATTTTTTATAGTTTATTGCTTCTTTAAGAGTTTCCTATATTAAAGTCTTCAATATGTTCCTTAGATTTTAGTTTATTATTATTAGATTTCAAGTGTACCAAATAAGTTATTTTTATTTCAAAGATCTGCTTTTTCTTAAACAATACATTTTTGGTTAGTAGAAGTTTTCAGACTTTTCCATGTCGTAAAAAATGCGGAATTTCTGATCGACGGTACTTTATTTTAAAATGTTTCCTAGATTAGTAAAAGTCTTCCTAAAAATTAAAAAACAGGCAATAAATGACAATACTCTGACTTTATTTTTAATCACTCCCCTGGTTACCTTAATGAATCTTCAGAAAATAGCATGTCCTATATTATAAATCAGTTTACCGTATTCCCCTGGGAATCGTTTTTTGATTGCATTGATTCATCGTTGCTCTCAGTATACAAACTAATTACACTATATCTTATGCCTTCCAAACTTCTCTAGTTCAACAGTAGCATCCCCATGGTGTAAAGTACGTGTGGCTTTAATTACTTATGGCTGTTGTTGTTAAACTAATATTGTCCTATGGCCAACGGTTTTAGACAAACATAATGGAAAACTTACAAAAAAAAAAAAAAATCGTTTTCATTTAATTACTGACGCTAACGGCGCAAACAAATCATTCATCGGTTTATTTATTATTTATTTTTTTTAACTCAGCGGTGTTCAACTGTTCATTCATTTAAACTTTCAACATTTTTTTTTTTTTGTCACGCGTACTTATCGATTTACGTTAAGTTTACGCGCACATTTTGCCTATCTCCCGACTCCTAAAACAATTTTCTACCCCGGACACGAGCGTGTCCAGCACATTTCGTTATGCGTATGATTGTTAATGTATCATGTTCGTGTGAAATTTTAAAACATTCCCCGCCTCGTTTATAGTCTGTGACAAGTAACCGACTCACCGCACAAGACGCCTGTGGCCGTTGGTCGTAGTCGTGTAAGAAAAAAAAAAAATCACGCCCATGTACTGTGACCTCGTTTTTCGGTGTGCACGTTGACGCGTTGTAGATTAGTCACATAATTGTAATAATTAATCAAACATGGCATGAGTATGCTTGATCAAATTTTCAGACCAGTCGACTCTACCGAAAAACGCCGAGCGAGTATTCACCAAACACAATGTCGAAAAATCGAATATAATAGGTATATTATTGTAATTATTAAACAAAATATTAGGACCAAATTTGATGAGTATTGTGTATAATAACATTATTAGACTCGAGTTGGTCATGGCGTGTGTTATAAATCGATCGTTTACCAATTTAACAAAAGATGCAAATTTATACTAAATATTAATGTAATTCATTAGAAAATGAGAATCACCACAATGTAGTAAATACCGCAGTAAAGTAATACCTGGCTAATCATAAATCGACTTTTATCATAATAAATTAATAAAGCGATAGAGAATGTTTATTTTCATTTATATTTAAGAATGAATTGAAAATATATACATATCTTTACTCTTCAGAATATAATTTAACTGTCGAACGTTTAATACATAAATGTTTAAAACTATTCAAGCACAACGAGTTATATAAAATGTTTTTTATAAGTGTTTATAACACTTCATGGTCCATTAAACGATACACTTTGTACCATCTTTGGCCACTGTTCAAGGTGGTAAGTTTAGAAGGTTTAAGACGTAGAGTACCTAATTTAGTATATGAAAACCGATTAAAAACATTCTTAACAATGTTGAAATACATAAATGTTAAATACCGAAAATCGAAACGTAGTATATACTTTTATAAATAAAAATGTTTTATTGGATTTATTAACATGATATAAAAAAATTAATAATTTATGTATACATTTTTCTTATCAATGTTAAAATACCAAAAAAATTCAAAAAATATTAAAGTATACAAATTCGATTATTTAGTGCGATAACTTAAAGCGATATTATCATTATTTCTAAATAATATAAAATTATTACCGTAGTCGTAAATTGTGCACTATATTAGTATAGTGTAGAAAATGCGAAACGGGACGGAACTCGTACAACTAAATAAATAACACGGGACGGAATAGTATGTACATTTTAAATACCCAGGACGGAACTATTCATAAAACATATATTTTTTTTTTTAGAAATTTCGTTTGCCGATTTTGTTTATTTAAAAACACAAAATCATATTTCCAAAAAAAATAACTCAAAAGTAGAAATTCAATGTAGATACATAATATTATCATATAAGTGATATAACTAGTATTTGTTTCCGTGTGGATATCGCATCTAAAACGGAATTCACGTAATTTAGTCGACATTTGACGCCTACTCCAAAACTATAATACATTTGAGCCGTCTATGATGTGGGTACACTCGAAATATTACATGTACTTATGTATGAAAATTAAACATGTAACGAAAAATGCCAAAAAAGTTATGACGATGATACGACGGCGGTGTCGCGAGATAAATGTTTATAGGTATTTGTTATATGATACGCGCATCGTTAGAATTAGAACATTAATGTTTTATAACACATCGTATTTTTTTTTCGTGATATACGCGCGATATTTGTGTTATGCGGATTGCACACCGTGTGCGCGCAGATTTTATTTCGCGAATAATTTAACGGTGTTTGACGTTTGTTCAAAATGGCTCGTGCCGATTTTTTTTTCACATTTTTTACTACGTCTACCGGCACTACTGATTTGAACAATATGTAGGACCGTTATCATTACTATTGATATGTTCGTTTCAGCACAAGTCGTGATAACTAATTAAATTTAGTTTGTAAAAGTCATTCGAACCGAGTCCTTTTGCACCAACACCGTCCGATTATTGTATAATGGCACATCGCATCGTAATCATTATTACCAGATGGTAAATCACCAATGAATGTATTGCGTAAATCAGATCCCGGAATACTAAATGATTTTTTCGGCCGCGGCAGTGGCGAGGGGAGACGATGAATAGAAGGGAGCTATCCTTTGACATTTTTTAGTCTTTTTTTTTTTAATCTTTTTAGCGGCCTTAGCATATAGGTAATTAAATAATATAGTTATCATACCCGTAGTGCATTGCAATATTTAAATCACGCCCTCTCAATCGATCTTCAGCTACGCCGTTGCATCGAATTTTCCTATACGATTATCAATGATATCCCGTATAATTTCCAAATATTTCCGTGAATACCACTCATTTCTACACTGATTTCCGTTAGTTGATTTACCACCCGATTATTTCAGCGGCACAAATCATGACCCTGGCGCCGTGGTATTCAGACCTCGTGCGTATAATGTATACTCGGCCGCCGTGCTATTGACTGATGTACTCTGATAGGTATTAACATTATTGTATAATATAATCAGTGGTGTATCCACGATTTATTCATTGGGATCAAAACTGAAAAAAACTTGAATAAAAAAATTATTTTGGAAAATACATAACTGTGTAACATATACAGTTATTTGTACCTACCTTTTTGGCAGAAAATTGTTTACCGTCGCAAAAAAAAAAAAAACACCAATACGTCATCATTATTATACTCGTGTGTTATAACCAACTGATCCCTGGACTACGCACAGAATCGAAATTTTAAAGAATTAAAGCTATTTTCAATAAAATGACTGTAACTTTTTTTATGGCAATTTATTTTCGAAAAATCTACGTACAGACATCGAAAATATTCTCCTCTTTAAATTTGGTTATTCGTGTTTAAACTCGTGTTTAAAGTTCGACCTGAATACCGCAATGCACGTTCTAAGTGTATGAGAGAAAGAGCGTTACAAACAGACAGACAGGCAAACGAATCTGGCATTTTATATTTAAGGTATAAAAAATGGTTCATTGGCATTAATGGATTGCTTGTCGACCGCTGGGTTTAATGTCAAATTATTCGGTAGTCATATAGTTATCGCACAGCAATTTTATTAATTATATCGACCAAGTTATCAATATCAAGAACGTGTATTGTTTAAATTTCGCGTCGTCATCGCTATGTAGGTAATGTAGTAGTAGTAGTTCTGCAGCAATGCAACCAGCTCGTTTCGTAATGTTTACTAATTTTTTATTGTGCTATGCCTTGAAAACGAGAAACATTATTATTATTATTATTGTTTTTTAGACATAGATTATTAATACGATTATTAATTATAATCATTGGTTAATTGCTAATTGATGTTTTCGAAAGCCTGAAAGACATTCAGCAGACATTTATTAGTACAAAGTTTTTTTTTTTTTTTTTAAAGAGTATGTTATGATATTCTTTTCATGATGTATATTATTGGACAAATACCATATAATATAAATATATTATGAACCTGTATTAAACCGATATTAACGGTTTGATTTTTAACACGCAACTGGACGGTTTTCCATATTTTTCATATTTCCAATATTTTAACAATTATATTACTATTATATTTATTGAAAACTTTTAACAAGAGTAGTAACAGTGTGAAAGATAAACAAAATTATGTTGTCCGACCCGAAGACAAAATAAAAATATGCCAATTAAGAGGATTCGAAACAGAACGGGATTTCAATTATATTTCTTTACTTCATATATGCAATTTTTAGATATATTTTCAGTCCTAATCGAGACGATACGAGTTCTAAAAACAGATTTGGATTGAGCGTGTAGTGTACGCGAAAAAAAAACGAACGAACGGAATTCGGTTGTAGATGTTTTAAAAGGTCATAATTTTTACGATTTGAAAATAATACATTTCGTGCGTTTTTCTGTTTTCCTACGTTTTTTCTCTGTTTTTTATTTATTATGAAAACCCCTGTTAAATTCAAAAAAATGACCTTCTTAAAGTACTACCTCAGTCAGATTTCCTTCCAGTAAAAATGCTATACTTAAAAGCCGGAGTAAAATTGCTGGTGGGAAAAATTGTTCTCAGAAAAAAAAATTTAAAAAAATTGTTGTAAAATTAATACATGTATCGCTCCACTCAGAATCTAAAATTCAGGAATATACGATCGCTCAATTCACTTAAGGTAAACAAATTATTGATTAAATGCGAGACACCCAAGGAAATTTCGAAATTAATAACTCAAATAAAACCCGTCGTGCGTATAATAATTACATTCTCGGACAGATTTCGGGTTTAATCATTTGTTTTTGATAATCGAAATCGGTTTATACGAGAACGTTAATATTGTATTTTTAAAGTTGTGGTATAATTTAATATTATAAATAAATAAACAATTTTTTTTACTCGGTATTATTTTAGAATTTTTCGTTGACGTATTATGCAAATGAAGCGCATCTATACATATTACGGGATATTCGAAATTGAATTATTATTTAAAACAAAAACAAACATGACAGTCACAACGTACTTTAATATCGATAAAACTAATTCACAATGATTCGCGTGCCATAATAATATTTAGGAATAGTTTATAAGTACGTACAAGTTTATTATTATTTAGTTAAGCTTGGGAGATTAAAACCTTCTACTGAAGATAGAATACTACGTCTTTAATAATGATGATAACTATATTCAAAAACACAGAAAATGATAAATTTGACACAGTTTATAATTTTTTTCTATAATTTAAATCAGTAGCACATTCCAGAGGTGTTAGAATCTCCCCCTAGATGGGTTTTAGAGGGTTTTTTTTATATACAAATTTATGACTAGTAAATAAATAAATAATAACAATATACAAATATTACTAAATATATTAAATTCTAATACTCGTAAGATTATATATGTGATTTTTCTGTGTTACAGCCACACTAAAGTTGAGTACATTTAGTGTAAATCTACTAGGAATATACTTTTTTCTTTAAGTACCTTTCGAATAGAAAAAAAATTATATTAAGTGTTTCTCTTGTCTTTGAACATTCATTATTTCGCATAGTATTGACTTAAAAAAAAAAAAAATTTTAATTTTAAAAACCAAGCAGCTCTGAAATGTTACATTTCCATTATTTTTTTTACCCTTATTTTCGGAAGTGAAACGACTAAGTACCAATTTTTTAGTTTCAAATGGTAAGCTACATTAAAATTTCCATAAATCCATATAGTATTAGATTAGATAAATTTTGGTGTTAAAATTTTTTTCATCCGTAAATCTATTCACGAGATATTCCAATTTTAAGTTTGATTGGTGGGAAAATATGAAAAATTATCATTTATATGGCAACACGGTGCGACGTGCGCGGGTCAAATAGTATATCACTAATCTCCCCTACCTAAACTTAAACGTGGAATATCTCGTATAAATGGAATGACGGAAATGTATTTATTTTTATTTGATATTTTATTGATTAAAATTAAGTAAAAACAAATTAAAATTTTTATTATGTACAATTTGTTGTAACTAATAAATTATGTTAACATATTTTAATTTTTTTTTTTTGAAGTCCTGACCCTTAGACTCCCAGTCATTTTTTGACATATCATAATTGTGTGTGAATTAATATCAACCCCCGAGATGAAACCTTAAATGTGCCACTGAATTACATGATGCTTTTAAGAAACATAATGACGCATTATAAAATTTATTAGAAATAGAAAAGGAGCGCAAAAATACCAAACAACAAGATAAAAAGAAAAATTTGTTTTCATGTGTAAATATAGTGTATTTATTTCAAACATTTTATAAAACTTTAAACTTAATAAAAAAAAAACACGTTCCTTTATGTAGAATAAAAGTTGCACGTATAAAAGAATTTAGTAGGTAGGTAGACATTTTACTTTTAAAGTTTTTAGCGTATGAAGATATTAGAATAACGTACGCGTAGGTATTTTAGTATTCACAGCAAAATAATAAATTTTGTAAAACATTGGCATTAGTACTACTATACGGTTTATTTACCCCGTTTTTTAATAGGTTTATGAGATTAAACTTAAGGACCTAAAGTTTACATTTAGTTCTTAATTTTACTATTATCCTGAAACTATTCGCAAATACCTATGACAAATATGTGCGTAACGTGGACTAATAAAAAAATTAAAAATGGATGGACATACTTCGTACCAAAGATGAGCCATCTATTGTATGTGAGAAGTTGAGAAGGTAGGATATAAAGAGGAATTTTTTTTATACCTGCACGCAACGATTAATCATTACTAACGAAAAATGATTAAGAATGGGGCTCGGTCAATAGTATTGCTTTTTTAACAATGTGCGTTTTCACGACAATTAAAACAGATTAAAACAATAAAAACTTCCTGATAACAAAAAATAAACTAAAACGGCTGCCACTAACAACCTTATTTATATTTATTTTTTAACCTTTATTTATTTTATCATTTTTAACCCAAAGACTAGAAAAAAATTTCTGGAGAAATTGTGTACACCGTATAAACAAAATTTTAAATAATCATCAATGTAAAACCAATATATGAGTACTCCACGCTTCGCTTAGAGTCTTAAAAGGTGTTTGTTTTAGAATTAACTATTTTTCATTTTCTTCTTAATAAGTCTAAGATCAATTTGTTACAACTCTTATACCTCCCTGTTGTAACTTAGTTCGTGATTTAGCTTATACATTATGACCGTGGTCTGTATGTTTCCACGAATACTTAAACGTATCCTTTAATATTTTATTTTATTTTATTTTTTTTTTTTTTACATTGCAATAACATAAAAAGGTAAGGAACAGGCTGGGAAAAGAGGCTGGTGAACATGGGGTTCTCAGATTAATAGTTATGTTATTACCTTCCTCCCGATGGCTTCTATTCGAAGGGATTCGGAATCTTGAGTCCGAGAATGGTTCAGAAATCAATAAATAAGAAATACAATTATTTTACTTGCCTCCTAGATATCCTCACGTGATTCTGGAATCGTTGAACAGCAGTTATAACTCAATATTAAATGTTCCTACGGATTTACCAGGATCCACATAGATTCTGTTTAAAACCTCTACGTTCAGTCCGTGAGATTTTTTAGCATTTTTCTAACGCACCACATCTCGGGGAATTCCGGTTTATAGGAACATTGCACTTAATTGATTTATCGATTTTATCTAGAGATATAAATGGTCATATGTGTACCTGTATATTTTTTAATCATCTGCAACTACAACCTGCAGTGCACATTTTAAAATTGTATTATTGTGTAAAATAAAAAGAAAAACGTACCAATAAAGCTATTATTCGTATAAAACGCTATATTTTGTTTTCCTTGCGCAAACACGTATTCAAGTGAAAAGACTTATAAAGGGCGTTGTAAACATTACTTATGACCTGCCTCTCAGTCAACTGAAAAATGGAAGACATGGATGGTACTTGAAAATATAGATCACGTCTTTAAAAATTATTACGGACAATATTTTATAGTAAAAGAAAAATAAAAGGTTGAAAAGAGCCGGTGTTGCTGACTGCTAAGTACTGATAGGTGTTGTATATGGGAAGTTGGGAAAGTAGGATAAATATTATTATTTAATTTATGTTTTTAAGTAACGATAAATGATTGCTGACGAAATACAATTCTGAGCGAATTTTGGTTAAACGTGTTTTTAAATGCCGTGATTTTGACGATTTTCGTCTATTAAGCTTATTTAAAATGTTATGCTAAATTTAACTAGGTTATTTTTTTACTACCAAGTATATTTTATAATGGATGTCGTATTAAATTGTCAAGCACTTCTGTTTAATTAAACAATGTTTATATAGTTTTTTATTTGGTATATCTTTTATCCTATACCAAACAAAAACTAAAAAAGCACGAAAATTGAATATGCATATAAATAGCTCAAAGCAACCAACAAATGACACACGTCATAATAAAACCAATACATTTCTCTCTTCATATACTTATATA